ATAACTAAACACCTCATTGTAAGTTTTTATATTGAATATTTCCTCACACAGACGATTTTGTGCCAGCATCCAGGGGTTAAACATAGCCAAATCGCTGCATTCGCTGGAGTACTGTAATGTTCTTGAGTTTTGCGTTATTCTGGATGTATCAAAATCAAAAGCTTTTTAGCACTTCGTAAGTAGCCTTTCTGTGTGTTTAAGAATGGTCCAACATCGTCCTGATTAACTTTAGAATGAGGTTATTTCAGAGATGACCAGTGGTGGTCGTACAGTCTTCAATGGACATGCTTACTTCAGATCAATGGCCAGGCTTTGACCCATTATTCTATTTTTTCCAATGAAAGATTTCGCTACATTTTCGTCCAGTTGACCACCAACATAATTAATTTCAGATGACTCATTTTTGCCATCGAAGATTAATGTCTTGACGGTTGTGATCAGTGGCACCATCTGTCAGTATAGGGTTGTCAAAACAGACGGTCATCTTCCAGTATCGCATTATTCTTTCTTTTCGTCATCTCCATCTTCGTCTTCCTTTTGTCTAGTGTTTTTTGGTCATGTTCTTTTTTTCTAGTTCTTAATGTCAGCTTGTGTTCCAAATTAGCAAAAAGCCTCCCCCAACACCGTCGCTTCTACCCGTGGGTGGAAAACAGCATACGGGAAAGCGTTGTTTATGACGTAAGGCAACGTGTCCTGACACACGTGCAGCTCGAAGCAGTCCAGGTGCTTGAATATATGTTTTACGTGGAAGAAATCGACTGGAGCTCGTGAATTCTGCCACCTCTTCAGCCAGCGATTCTTACTTCCGCACCATTTCCTTTTTAACCGATCACCGTAGTAACTTGTTGATTTGCTTGACGCAAAGATCTGGCATTGATCTTCTGAAGTGTCTGTGATTTTCTGTGAAAATCAGATCTATGTGCAAAATAGTTATTCAATAATTGCCCGATATGTACTTTGCAGTATTGTGACCATCGATCGATGAGAGATCACAGAAACAACAAAAAAAACCCATCGTATAGCTTTGGCGATGTTCCATTGTTCCCTGAAAAGGACTATTCGACAGTGAAGTAAGTTTACTACTTGCACTACTTCAGGACATTATCGACGAATACTGTTTTTATGAACCATTAAGACGCGTTTGAAACTGTTGTCACCGGACTTAGCAGTAAATTACGCTTTTGCAGTCGGTCTGTTTTATTCCTACTCTTAAACCTACAGGTCTGATATCAAGTACGGTTTGTGTAGGTTATTTTGATTAATTTTTCCGTTTGCCGTTGCGCTGCCATTGTTCAGACCATAAAAGACGAGTTCGATTATCCGCTGTGTTTGTCCTATTAGGCTATGCATCGTTAACCCATAAAATTATATATTGATCTGCAATACCATCTTTGCATCCATCGATCCGTTGTCTCTTCATTAATTTTATACCCTGTCTCATTATTTGGTATTTTGTTTGTTCTTCTGCATTGTATGTATATTGTCATGTGAACGTTGTACTGGTGGTTGCTGAAATGTTTGTCTGCGCTAGTTCTGCTAATTCAAGCAGTAAACTCTTCTGATTGATGTTGATATGAGGTAAATTCTTTGCGCAGAAAAGTAGCCCATAAATAAACCACACCTCGTTCTGATCAGGTTTTCAGTTTAGGATGTCTAGTCACATTGTGATCCGGCATACGAGCCAGAAGTACATCGCATCTTCGTCATTCTCGAAACTTGATTCAATTCAGATAAAGCCGAGGTTTTATAAAAATTTGTTATGCAAATTTATGTTTAATTTTGAAATCGAAATCTGCTCGAAAATGTTCCCCAGCGAATCTTGATTCAAAACGACTAAGGGCGCGAATGAAACCAAATGCCATAGAGCACCATAACATGAGTTGTGAAAGAGCTGGACATGCTCTTAGATGCAATTGTGATGCGTTCAATGTTCTCTGCCGGAATGGCCAAATCATAAGATCAATTTCAAGCCCTTCTAACGCATTGGAAAACCGATGAGTCAGTTAAGTCGACTAAACTAGATATGCATGATGTTCTTGAAACCTACACGCGTGTCTCCTTGTACACGTTCAGTGGTATATGGCCTAAGTTCCATGCCCTCCATTGCACAGTCATTGCTAGCCTTTGGCAGCATGACTGAAAATTATGGCGCGTACTCTTTCAGCAAAGAACGACAGCAGATGATGGTGAAAATATGACAATGATGAAGGAACGACGATTATTCTTAATGATGATCATGGCAATGAAAGTTTCATGCTTCACCGTTTAGACTGACTCATGCAAAGAACATATTGTTCAATAAATCGTGACGACTACAGTGACGTAGTCAATGCAAATGTAAACATTCCAGGTTACGGTTTGTGCCGAAATGGGTCAGGGCGACGTGCGGTCTTAAAGGGTGCATCGAATAGAATTACCGTACACCTCGTCCATTCTGGTATGATCAGGCCAGAACACAACACTGTCCCTTAATTCCCAGTCCGTCGACTTACTGAAGTAACGGTGATTAACTTTTTGATCAAAGCAACTCACGGCCAATGCCAAGGGTTGTCCCTGCGGCGGATTTGAACCCGGGATCTGGATTTCAGAGCCGACCTCTTTACCACTGTGCCACGACACAGACTTAATTAATTGCAACTAAATTGTTTTGATTGGCAGCGTTCCATGGCTAAGTCATGGTTTGTTTCCGATGCAGCTGAAGCGAAGGTCGGATCTCGCCGCCCCGGTTCACCACCTGTCTAGGCAACTGTCCAATGGACCGGAACACACGGCGCTGGAAGGAGCTGTTGGTCTGCCTCGTCTGCTACGCATCACTCCCCGGGGGCAATCAACAGTCGCGTGGACAGAGCCAGTAGCTGTTGCCCACGCGCCGACGGACGGCTGGACACGGACGACAGGATGCCACCGTGGTGGTGCCTGTGGTCACACTCCATTGGCACGACTGTTGCAGTGACGGGCACCTGCGCAGAAAATGAGTGACGACGTCCAGCGAAACACGTGTTCAACTCGATGAACCGATTTCGGTCAGTCATTTCAAACAAATTTATTCGTGCAGAGGCAAGCGACGTAGTTTCGCGTTCCCTCGCTGCTGCTGACGTCATCCTCCAAACTCACGCTCGGCTGTGAGTCCCAGCATCGTTCAGCGCTATGGCTCATGCGACTGCACTACCTCACATGTAATCCGGTAAATCCCGACCGCAGTTTTTGCGCCAACGTCTGACCACGTAGTCGCTCTCTTCTATCATGATGGATGATTACGACAGCGATGGTGATCGTAATGGCAATAACGACCGCGGTAGCGATGGTGGTAATCACTCATAATCGTACCTTCAGTTCTCCGTGTATGACTAAGTCAAAGAGGTCAACAAATAAATTAGCATTATTCGAGAAAACAACTTGCGCTTACTTCGATCACTACCTGTCAACGTTCGAAATCATTGTGTGCGTGAGAGGGGGGGGGTACCATGACAGAGTTCATCTTCGAACTACCGAGCCGTCGGTGTCGAATCTCAAAACTGTCTTTTCTGCCTAATTCTCATGACAAGGAATTCATCTTAGCATCGCTTAGAATCAGCCAGCAGAAAAAGAACGTTGTTGGCTTAGGAACAATAGGGACATCGCAGTGCTTTACTGTGGTGATAGCAAAATCGGCGAGAGGTGCGGCCATGTTGCTTGACGAGAGCGCCTCGTATGACTGAGATTCACTTTAACTCAACTCATAGCTGACTATCCAATAGAACGATAGACACAATGGGCAAAGTCTGTTTTTTGTGTTGCATCCGTTCAATAAATGTTTCGTCTAGTTGGCAGTGAGGATGTACCAGCAGATGTGATCCTCGTTGTTTCTCATGTCCCTGACGCCCAGACTTTAACAGCTACGTGTTATTAAATAAATGTGCGAAGTAATAGATGCAATAAGAAAATTATCCTCAAAGCGTTCTGTCACATCAATTGTTACATCAACTAAAGCACGCCTGTCCAAGAGATCAGCCAGTGAACTGATGGCGTGACGATCACCTCTGGAAATGAGTACAGGTAGTGAACCACAGTACCTCTGGTGGGTTTCTTTTAAACTACCGTTTACACTGAAAGACGTGACGCATAGTATATGCGATGAAGATGACGCAAATTGAATAACTGGAATGATACGTCTCATTTGCAGGGATGCCTGACAGGGACCCGGTCGTACAATCCGTATCCGTTAATTCTTGAACCACAAGTTAAGAAACACGTTGCTCAACGGACAGTGCTTAGTTGAACGAAGAAGCTGTTATCCACGTTGAGCATAAAATCTGCTGATCTCGAAAGACCCACTTAATTGCACCTTTTTTCTAACTCACTTTTTGGCAAAAATTCCTCTCTGGCATCTTGTCGAAGCGAACGACTTCCTCGTAGCAGATTTATCACGTAAAGATTGTCTCGCATGGTCGATTCGTGAATATTTTCAAAATCCGTTTCTGGCAGTCTCTTAAATCTCTTAAGCAATGTTGTTTTTATTAGCTGATTGCTAGTGTACGAAAAGTCGAGGTTCTCACTTTTTGCTGAACCAGTTATCGGCTGACTGGAAAGTTGAGTTGGGCAATTTGCGACTGCCGCATTCCTACGCTTTTCATAAGTAGTCGCGTGCTAGAAAAAAAAGCAGATAGTCGAAGGTTTATTTGAAACTTTGAAGTCTGAAGTATTACTTGAGAGTCACAACCTGGCAATACCAGAAAGTAGCTTACTGATTTCTTCATTAAGCGACAGCACAAGGAGTCAATTTATGTACGTCTTTACTGCCTTGCTGCTGCTCGCTGCTCCATCAGTGGGTTGAACTTCTCGGCGATCAAAAGAATAGCAGAAGATATGTGATATATACTAAAATAAACTCACTTTTCTTCTAAAATCGGATTTCGCTACTCATTGCCAGCCCCTGGCTCACAGAAGTCTGGGTGACGGGAGGGAGCGGTTACAACGGGCCAAGGCTCCATGGTGTTTACTCATGTAGTGCCTAGTGTCTCTTGTCCTCTTCTTAACTCTCTTTCGATCATCACTGTCTTTTCATTTCCATTCAAATTTTCACCTACGTATACAACAACACTTCATGCATTCCACGACTCTATGATCAGCTATAGAATCAGACAGTTCCTATTGACTCAACTGTTTTCTGGCCATGATGTCGGAAATTGTTCAAGATCACTAACATAACCATTTTGTTGAAAATCTGCTCGCATATTCCATAATCTTTAACGAGGCCAGTAAACCATTTGGTGTAGAAAGAATTTCATCTGGTTTTTATTCCGTTTCTGTCTAGCATGGGCGGACGACGTACAAAATCGATGCTGCAACGCAATGAGAGCTTTGTGTAGTAAGGATAAGTGTATACTGTGGGGCGCTTATTTCCATATCAGTCACTCAGTTTCAATGAGAGCTGATCCTTTCAGGGCACTGTCACAGACTCGTCAGACACCGTCTTCAACATTATTGATCCTGTGCCAACGTTTAACCTACGGCGGAAAATGTCCTGAGTCTGGAGCGGAGCCGATCGAGACATTTGTCTGAATCATTCTTGGCCATCTCCGGGGGTTTTAGGTCGGGAAATGGAGTACCTGTTACGGCTTCCTTTCTGGAGGCATTCGCATACGTGCCCAAACCATCGCAGACGTGAATTCTCAGTCTGGAAAAACAGCGTACCCTAAGGTTAAGGTTCTTTCGGATACCTGTACTCAAGACCATGTCCAATCAGTACCTTGAGGCTCAGTCAACTAGCTCCGTTTCTTTTCTCCTCAGTGAGGAGATGTTCCAACTTCCGTCTGCGAATTCCTACCATCGGTATCGTTATCGTGAAATCTTATCCGACGTTTTATAATGAAATCGCACATTTTGCCTCATCCGTTCTGAACATCAAGCGGCTCCATTGCTGACCGGCACCTTCGTAATTTTGTTTCGAGATCTCCATATAAAATCGCCTTAATTGTTTTGGTGGTCTCTGTTAAAGAGAAAATAAGAAAATAAAATTTTTCTTATTTAAAGCAGTTTTCACTGGGCATTCAAATGTCAGACGCTTTCGTCTTTGACCTTTGACTAGCAGCCAGGTTAGTATAATCGATCGATGCAGCTATAACCAAATACATGCATTTTCACAGGGGTCTTTTGCTCTATAATTCTGATTAATGTCACTTGCGCCAACAGTCAACTCGCACCTTCGCAGTGCGAACTCAGATTAACTATCAGTAAAGAAGAAAGTAAAATTGAAGAAATTGTGAAATTCCAATTGCACATTAGAAATGTAATACTCTGGTAATCAGCGGATCACTCTAAAGTCAGTCTCCAATCTGTATGGTAAAGTACGGCAACGGTTACAGGATGAGGTCGAATGTCAAGGTGAGGCATTTTTTGCAAATCTATGTCTTTGACATTCAAACAGCTTTAAGAAGATTATCGGCTGGTGAAACATCACATCAATTGTGAATTGCACTTGTACCTAAGAAGTGCTTAAACACACTGTAGTCATGTCCTCCTTTAATAGTCCATGATGCAAGTAGCCTCAAGGGAGTGGGGCGATATGCCGTGAAGTCAGCTACCTCTTCCTCATACTTTATTCTTCTTCTCATCACTGTGCACTTTTCTTGTGCGCTTACGGATATATCAATGGGTCAGTGATTGCTGAATGTTCATCGGTGCTACCAATGTTACGCGGTAATTCTACTAATTTGATCCCTAAACTTTTTGATTGACTGATTTTTTGGAGTAGTTATGCGCCAGCTGAAAAAATCCTTATCCCTAGCACAAATCGGTCTTGGGAACGTACGTCGTGACTACGTAACGAGGTGCAAGAATTTCAGACCGTGTTTCTTCTTCGAAAGAGGAGAAAATGACGTCCTTCCTGAACATCAGTACTGCTAAGCGATAGAGACTGAAGCACAGCCTTGATAACTGCGTTTGAAAATAGCTTGGAGTTTGTAGAGGATAAGAGAGCACCTGATTTTTGCACTGAGAACCGGGTTTCAATGATGCTGGCATTGTTCTTTAGGCCGCTGTGTAAATTTGCACCTCGCCAAACATCGGGCATAAGTCATTTGCTCTCGGTGAACACTTACGCAATGATCCGCTGATAAATGCGTTTCTAACATAAGCAATCGTACCTGTGGTGATTCATATCAGTAATATGCACACTGAAGGACCGGTTTTGCAAGCTATTCTGCGCCACCCGTTTCTTGCTTCCGCAGGTGCGGCCAAACCAAGAATCTTTGCGAAGTTATCCGGTGTTATTCGTAACGAAAAAAGGAACCTGAACCTCACTAGATAGCGAGCACTTACGAAGAACTTAAACGAGTGATGACATACGAGCAACTGGCAATGAAGCATAATGAGCAAGCAGTCGATTCGTTGAAAACAAAAAACAGGTAAAAAAGCAAATAAATTCCATAGTCGTCTGAGGTCGTTTTTTGACTGTCTAGAGCATGGTATAATGACGAGTATAAATGACGGTCTTTTTGCATAAATACGCATGAATGTACATCGGTTACACGACGAGCTTCTAGGCTCCGTTGTATTCGATCAGGGGAAAACAAACGGGCGAGTTACGATTAGCCACCTTAATCTGACTCTTCCCTAACCCCACGTCATCAGGGGGCGAGTTACGACTGGAATACTCACTTGGAGAAGTTGGTTCATTAGGGTTTGTTAACTAATTAGTTTTGCTGTTTCGAGTACTCATTCAGATATGTAATGAAGTTGCATTATTGAAGATGGTCACGACTGATAATCAAGATACTTATTCATTGCAATAATATTTGCAAGGTACTGATAATAGTACAGTAGTAAGAGGTTCACTTCGAACTCCGAAGGGGCTAAAAATTATTCTTAACTGCTAATTTCCATAAACAATGGATTCGCCACACTGTACTTCAGGGCAACGAGTCGAGAAACGAGTATGAAATGATAGACAGTGACTTACATTGGAGACAGGAGGCAAGAGAGAGACACGGCAACGTTGTCTTAGGCGAGCATTTCTTGGAACCGCAATTAGCTTTGACCCACCTGATATCTGACTATTAAATGTCATAATGTGTAAAGCCAATAACTGATGTAATAAAGATATAATAATTCTATATTTTCAGGGCGAAATCCGCCCTGTTATCCTTGTTGCAACGAAAAGTGGACAATAATCAAGAAAAACGACGATCCACTGCGCACTACGGTAGGGCTTCTTTCTATTAGGCCACTGCTGTAACGGTGAAGACCAGTTATGCAGTTGCAAACGATCGGCTGTAGAGACTCTGCTGGGGTGGGGAGGGGGGCATTGATGGTGGCAGTAGGAAAGCCACGGCTAACTTCAGATCACCAGCGAAATGATTGTGGCTGTGAGCAAGCTTCTGAGTGTCAAGACGTAAAATGAATCGCTAGCGAGTTTTTTTTGTTGATATTCGACTGACTTGCTCAAACCTGTATATGCAATAACGATTCTCGTTTTCCGAACGCCAGGTTGCCACCGAAAGAGACAGCACGATGGCAGAGGGCGTTGAGAACTGTAACGGTTTACTGACGCTGGCAAAGTACAACTGCAGTTCAACTCTAGGCGAAGCGTGGTTTCAAGAGCTGGAAGTAGAACTGGGCAAAATCAACTGGGACGTGGAGTTAGGCGAAATGAAAATAAGCTGTTATGGCGTAAGAATGGACACCTCCTGTTCTGCAGACGGTCAGCAAATGGACGTACGGGAAGAATAGGGTCCATTATCCACAGAAGATTAGGCAACAATGTGGCACAAGTGAACAACACTTCCGAGAGATTGGTTGTGATAGTTTTAAAGCGATGCAAAGTCCAAGTGATACAAGTACATTCGCCGATGCTATGTCTTCTCGATGAAGAGATAGAAGTGCAAGAACATGGAAAGAGTCAATACAAGTTCTTCATTTGGTCATTTCAAAGTCAAAGTCAGAACGCACCAAGGAAACCAATCCCTGTGTGCGGTGGAACAGACGAATGGAGTTTGCTTCAAAGAACAAGTTGTTCCCTGTGAACAACGTTTTTAGAAACAGTAATGCAAGCGACTCAAATGACATCAAAAATGAAATCGATTTCTTCCTCAGTGCGGGACGTCGCGGTGCTGGCCAGGTTTAATACAGGAAACGACCACGGCCTGGTGAATTGCAAAGTGCGCCTGGACTCAGCTTGAAAAGATGAGAATTGCTGAGGACTATACGCTAGAATGATCGACTTGGAAATACTAAAGAAGAACGTTACACTTTTCCTACTCAAATCAAATAACCCATGGCTCGACCTCCTTACCGGAATGCAAGGAATACAGTGGACATTAACTTAAAATATCAAGATATAACGGTGGAAAACATGTCTGGAAGAAGATGTAATGACCGACTTGTGGAAAAACTAAATGAAGGCTATAAAAAGTCAGATATTACAGACCGAATATATAAAGCTTTGCAAAATATTAAGGAAACGGACAAAAGAAGACGGAGGGCATTCAAACTGTAGACTGTTGAATGGAACTTTAAAAAAACAAAAGCATTACGAAATTAAATAAATGATTGACGGCCTGGAAACGGCAAATTTCACTTGTCAAAGCGAAAGATGGGACTGTCATCCAAAACAGATGTGAAATTCTAAAGAGAGTAGAAAATTTCCATCAAAATTGTGCGAAGAAGAAGACAGCAATATCTCTAGTAATGATAAGGAACCTGAAGACACAAATGACGTTTTCGTGACGGAATGAGTGCGACATGCAGTAAAACAATCAAAGTCATGAACGGCTCCTGACATGACGGTATTACACTGGAACTCATGGAATCAGCAGGTGAATGATTGACCAAGATATTAGCGTG